AGCCTGAAACATTTCAATTTCCATTTCCATTTGGCTCTGATTGCCAATTTTTGTTTGTTATTGAATGATTTGTTCTAAAATTTTATGATGCATAGATTTGTGTAATATTTCAATTAAATAGTCAATGGAATCATTTGGATAAATATGTGGGTGGCGAGTGTGTGCATAGCTCTCAGGTTAATTAACTTTTATGAAATGAAAATGTTTGGATAGATGGATTTAACTTTTTTAGTGGCTTTGGTTGCTAATTTAATAGGAAAATATGGACTTGAAATTAAGATGCAGTTGGTGAGTTTTGGATGACTTGTATGAAAAGTTGAGTATGCAAGTACTTAAGTCGGCCTTTATTTATCCAAATGAAGATTTGTAATTAAAGCATGAAGACCATTCAAATTCTTAAAAAAAGTTTATTTCAAGTGAATTAAATTAGTTTTATTCTTTTTATTATTTAATTTTTTTCATAAAAAATAACCTACGGTGTCAATTAAAGATATTAATCATTTGTATTGTTTGAAAAGAAGTTTACTTATAATTAAATAAATTCTAAGTTAGGAATTGGATCTAAATTGTGTGGGGTATCGTCCGAAAAATTAAAGGATTGCTTTAAAATCGTTATTTTTCCTAAACCGTTCTTTTTGGTCTTATTCATATGTAGCCCAGTTTTCACATAAGTCCATTTATCATCCATTATTGCAGATCCCAATGCCTCTGCCGAAGAGTAAACACCATAAATCGATTATTGATTATTTGAAGCGGCTCTCAGCTCTTTCCGAATGCATTTAAAGCGGCATACTGCTGAAATTGAATTTCCAGGGAGTAAAACTAATTAAATGGAAGCACTTTAGTGGCCATAGCCGCCGAAGGAGTCGCAGGAGGATGGAATGGGATGGACATGGAAGAGGCAACGAGGCAACGAGGCAACGAGGCAGATAGTCGCCATTACGAATGCCAATTGAAAAGGCGACAAAACGCAGTCAGGAGTGGTTGGATGCGGGGAACTCCAAAGGGAAGGCAGCGCAATGGCAACAAAAACTGAAACTCGAAATTCGAATTCGGGCATAAGTGACAATTCAATAAGCCATGACGTGCCCAAATGTTTATTTAGCATATAGCGACGGGCGAATGAGCGACGCTCGACTGGATCGGGGATAAGGGGCAAGGGCAGGGGCAGGGAAGGGGGCATGGGGCAGGGGGACTTACAAGGGAAGTGGCTATGGCTATATGGCAATAGGGGAAGAGATATAGCGATATTACTGCTGCGGAAGTGCGCAAAGGGACTCGCAGGGAGAGTGCTCTGCGTCTGCCTTTAAACGGTGGTATATTTCAGGCAGACAATTTACTCGACCCATCACCATTGCCATCAGCAGCGGTACACACAGAAAAAATAGTTTACATAGAGTGGGGCAGAAAAAATCAAATAAAACATGAAATTCTTACAGAAAATACAATACCTGAATTTTGGTTAAAGATTTGGTAAGTAACGTGAAGAAAAGACATTCAAACTTATTATTATTTTGTCCCACCGATGTTCGAAACATTTTAAAACCAAATGTTAAGCTTATGAGATTATATGTAATTTATATTGATCTTTAAGGCATTGTTTATAAATAAATTATATGTTATATATTATCGAGGGAACTAAAAAACAGCTACAGAAAGTGAAAGTTTGTTTAGTATAGTTTAATATAGATTTTCTAATTGTTATGTAATTATTTTGAAACGTCTTTGGGAGCATTTCTTATTTCAGTGTTACTTTAACTCAATTTCTGAAAGTATCATAATCATTTTTATATTTAAATTCATTTGATTTTGTTTGCTTAAATAATTAAAAATTCTTTGAAGACTTGGCAATACTGACGAACAGAGTTTCTTTTATTTTTCTCCGTGCAGCCGTCTCGTTGGCCGCCACTTTCATAAAATGTTGCTGCTGTCGCTGGCGATGTTGCTGCTGTGGTTGCTGTTGCTGCCGTGCTGTGGTTGCTGTGGCTGTTCAAGAGATGTGAAATGTTTATTTAGGACAAATTGTCTTGGCTCGGCGGTGAGTGTAGGCAGCAGGAAATTGCTCATTGCAGGGCGGTCGAGGGTTATACGTCTGCGTACCTTGTTAAAACCCTAGCCGGCCGCAAAATGGCTTACCAATTAATATGCCTCGGTCGGGGAACAGGGTACATGGACATACTCGCGCACAATAATCACTTTCATGGGCGTTACTCGTCAAATTGACTGCGAAATCTTCCGAACTGATGACATGTGCTTGCCTTGGGGGACTCCTACTTCCATAGTGCCCCTATTTCCCCCCGATCCCCACAAATCAGCCTTGACTGCATCTTTCCGCTCGTCTTTTTACCATGGCTTCTTTTTTGGGCCTTGTTTGCTTAGCCGCGCGCCATTGACGACACGTTTCCCAGCTTCCAACTTCCCAACTTCCCAGCTGCCCGTGCATCGCTCAACTAATTTCGTTAATCTGCGGTTGCAGATACAGATACAAATTCAAATAGTGCCACAGATACATCCACTCTTGTTGATTTTCGAATGTGTTTTCATTGCTTATCAGCTGCATAATTAATGGCCGTGCTGCCAATGTACTAGTGTCAGTATCTGTCAGATACGTTTTTAATAATCTCGCTGATGGCTACTTGTGGATGCAGATAAGTATCTAGCTCAAGTGACTGACATTTGTCGGATACTTATCAATTAATGCTGAGATCATAACTGTTAAGTACCTACATAATTTGATGAATGATAGAATATACGAACAAATTAATGGTTTGAAATTATCAGAATTTATATTAGAGTAATGATTGAAGAATGTATGTTTAGTAATTAAACGATTGTAAACATAAATAAATTATTGGAATATTTAAAAAACTAATAACTGATTGCTAAGCAAGCTATACTTTTATTTAGTTTGACTTAAGATTTATGAAAACAAATAATATGACTTAATTTATATAGTCTTAAAAAATGGGAGTCGAATGAAAAAATTAAAAGCATAACAAATCAGTAATAATACTAATATTGTTTTACTAAATTTAAAAAAATGATTGTTAGTTTTATTTATCTTAAGGTAACAAATATTTGTTAATTATTTAAATTGGTTATGTTTAGATTCCTTAATAAGTTAATAGGTTTTAAAATAAGTTTAGGAAGTATAAGCAACTGTCGTTTGCCAACAAGGCTAGTACAGATAAGTTTAATTACTTAAATTAAACCTTAAGCCTTTAGAGTCCTGATAAAGCCACGCCCACAATGGAAATTCCCAGTCCCTTGAGAAAAGCACCCACTTAAACCACCCAGAAACCTCGCAGGCCAGTGTCTTTATATTTGTCAACGTCTTCGTCGTGGTAGACTCGTTTTTCTCGCTCGCCTCGCTGCAGTTGTTTTCCCAATGTAAATATTTAAATATTTTCAAGACAAACATTTGCGTGTTGTCTCTGAAAATATGTTGATAAAATATTTGCTCAGCAAACTGGTTAAAAATTACAACAATTCACGTCGCCGTCACTGTGTCTGCCGCTGACTTTGGCATTTGTTTTATTAATTTTCTCAACACTTTTCCCGCTAGGCGTGGAAAAACAGCAAACAGGCCACAAGCTCAGTCCAAAATCTGCATACACTTAGATAAATATGTGCATACATTTAAGTTCTTTATCTTCATGAAACGCTTAATTAATACTGCAAACATATATGTTTCTTATAGATTTAATTTTAAATAATTTAGAAAAACTTAAGATCAGAATTTTTCTAAAATAGAAAGCTTATCATTATTAAATGTATCTACAATTTTTTTTAGAGGATTTAATTTTTTTCTTTTGTGAGTTAAATTCATTTTGCATCTGGTGGTGGGCTTTTCTATGCATAAATATGCAGTGGTTGCCCGTGTTTGTTGTTGTTACAATTATTGTGGCCGCTGTCCATTGTTGTTGCTGTAATTTTTGTTGTTATAATTGCCAGAGCCGCTCGTGCAGACAGCGCGGCACCAAGTGTTTCACATCCCATAAGCAAAAAAAAAAAATAGGCAAGAAAAGAAAAGAACCCGGAGCGAAAAGAATAGAATTGAATATGGAACAAAGAAATCCGAATATCGGGGTGTGCTCTACTTTGGCCCAATTTGCATTGTGGTCAAAATGTTGAGAACCTTATCCCTGGCTTATCCCATTTTGTATCCACCATTCGACGAGGCCATCAAGAGGTCAAAAAGAGGCCCGACAGGCGGTCCACTCTTCTATTTTATTTCCCCGGTCGAATGAATCAAGTCGCCGCGGCTGGAATTTCACATAACACATTCCAATTGCCACGGCCTGACATTAATTGTGGCGCAAACGATCGATTAGCAACATTTTAAAATTCATTAATGAATTGCTTCTCAAACACACGTACACCACGCACCCAACAACTATGTACATAAATAAGCAATCCCCACATGCGCGCCCCCAAGTCTCCCAAAATGTTGGATCGGGGGAGCAGGTTGGCCAAGGCGGCACAGTGCCTTCCAGAAGTTGGATTCCCAAGCAAGGGCCTTCTTCATATAGTCATAGAAGTTCCTATGCACCTTTGAATAAGCATGGGTTCTGTTTAGGATATAATGTTATCTTTTATTCTAGAATTATACTTATCAACATGAGCTTATAAAAATAAACCTGTAATTTAGAGTCTAAAGTCATTTCCTCATGGTTGCTGTTTTTAAACTATAAATAGTATTAAGTTATAACTAATATTTTTTGGGTGTTAACAAATAATTGCTATTAAATTTTTTTTTAAGAGTTTTGGTTTTCTTATAAGAAAAGGCTAGTTTTTGGCACCTCTCTAATTCCTAGTAACAATGTTAATTAAATAAAAATCAAACTTAAAAGGTTTTGGCAATTATGAACCCCTGAAAAGTGTTGAATAATTTACTCCTTGTTTGGGGTGAAAACCCTAAAAGTTTACTCGATAGTTTTTTATATTGCTGCCTTGGTTGCACATCCCTGTCGTTTTCCACCTCTCAAAGATATATTTTACAAAAAGCAGCCATGACACCTGTGAACGAAGTAAGAAGTGATTAATACATACTGTGCTTAAGCCTTGAAAATCTTTACATAAAGTTGTCTAATTTGCAGAAACTAAAAAACTTTATCAGCGAGCCAATACGCGACAAACCCGTGACCAAACTGCCAGGAATCGGGGTGACACTGGGCTCCAAGCTGGCAGATGCGGGTTTTGGAAGCGCTAGCAGCGTCCTGGGGCAGTTCCTGCTCTTCAAGATGGACAGGGAGTACTTCTGCGATTGGATGCACGAAATTTGCCAGGCGAATAACTATCAAGCCGAGGAGTGCTGGAACTGCCTTATCATTTGGTGTTATACGTACCTATAAGTTTGTGTTCGAATCATTTACCTGTTAAATGAATTTATTTTTTAATAAATAAGTTCCAGTTTCTTACCTATACTTTTTTTGTCCCAGTTGGCGTAAGCAATATTGTAACAAATAAAAGGGTATACTGAGATAACAAGTTTGTTATTGCCTTGAGTAAAACAATGAAAGCCAAAAAAAAAAATAAAATTTAGGTATGTGCCCATCTACAAATGTTTTTCCAGATCAATTTCAAGAATACATCGGGAAAATAGAATCGGTAAAGGTTTTCTAGTGCTAGCGTCGAAAGTTAAGTTACCTCTCCGACATATTAATAAACCTAAAATAAAAGATAGCTCTGAAAAAAATGTTAAAACCTTTTTTTATATATAAAAAATATTTTTTAACCATTGTGTGTCTGCAAACAAACGTAAAGCACTGTTCGACTTTTACTTCCTCACACAGACGCAAAACCCAATAATAAATCGAAAAGAAAACTGTCTAAAAAATGACGAGCTGACGATTTGTATGGTATTTTGATATCCACAGACAGCAACAATACCAAACCCAAACCCCAAACGAGCAGAGGCGTCGTTGGAAAGGGATTTTCCCCGCTCTTAAGATTGAGAATCACGAATTTCCTTAAAAATGTCTAGTACCATAAGGAACTTTTTATTACCTAACCCACAACATCCCTTTTTCGCACCTTCCCTGGCAGCATTCAAAAAACTTATTATGCACAAATAAATACTACTGCCAGCCACAATTTTCCCCAAATAGATAAAAATGAAGAAAAATTTGTTGTTGCTCTGGCGTTTTTCAGAGTTTTCGATTTTTTTCCCCCAGTTGATTTATACGAGGAACGGAAATCGTAGACTTTTCGACGCGCAGCATGAGTGCAACAGAAAACGCAGATACAGATACATCTGCTGGCCGGCGTATCTTTGGGATTGGGGGAGGTAGATACCCCGCTGAATGAAATTGGGCAAAGCGCATGAAATATGTTTGCAAACAAATTAATAACAATCGATCTGAAACTGGCCAAGTTGCCAGATAGCACCGCCAAATGATGAACGATTAGGCTTCTGTTTTTATAATCTGGGTTACACAAACAAGGCAATAAATATATATGCCGAATGAGTGATGCAGAATTGGCCATGAGTGGCCGATATTTTACCGATCTCTAGGTGGTTTTGGCATTTTTGCGAGGGCCTCTCCATCCGTTTCAGCCCCACTCCCAATTCCAATCCCAATTGCACCCACTCCTCTGGCATTTGTTTACCATTGCATTGGCCTGGCCAGACATTGGAACGCCAAAAAGCTGTCGTAACCATAAATTAGCACCTCCTTGGGACTCCACCATATGGTTTCCATGTAAACTGCATTCTGCGGCCGAAAGATTTATCTGCCAATCCATTTCTAAATGAGTTGCTTTGCCCAAGTTTATCGCCGGCTCTCTTCCACTTGCGATTATTATTACGATATATTTACAATGGATTGGGCTGGCTTCCGTAAACATGGCTCCCAAAACATGCCCTTGACGGTGAACCGGAGTGTTGCATAGTTGGGTGCTTCTGTAAGCGACTCTAGACTTCCGTTTATCCAGATACAAATTCAAAAATTGCACATAATTTATAATCCAATTTAAAATTATATATAAATATGTTCCTATTTATAACATTCTTAACGTATTTATTTACGTTCATAATTTATTGAGGACTTTTAGTGCACTTTCTTAAGCTAAGCCTAGTTTAAAGTTTTAAATGACAAAAGGACTCACAATACTTAAAACAATTTATTTTATATTTTATTGTGTGAGAAGAAGATTTTTAATATTTATCATAAGTTACTTAATAGGTTACCTATTACACCAATTTTTGTTGATACAGAGATCATAAAAGATATTTTTCTCTAAATAAATAATATCTATCATAAAGGTTGTGTTTCAAATTATATAAATCTTTCAAATTATATGTTTACTTAGCTTGTGTAAACCTTAAAATTAAATTATATTATAGTGGTAAAATAACATTCGATTTGATTTATTTTGCTCTACACAAAAATATATTATTTTATAAATTTAGTTCTTAATGAATGAACAATTTATTGCCTCCTTAGTTGTAAAAGTTATATTTGCATAAGGGACAACATCAAACAGATCATGTTGTGGTTTTTCTTGAACGCGACCACCAGCTGGTTGTGGGCGAAGTTATTTGGCAGCCACGCCCCCGCTGCTGGAAAAGGGGCGATTCTGCAGCAATCAGTTGGCCCAGCCCGACCTGCCATGTGTGAGGGATTACGGATTAGACGTGGCCGGAATGGACCTGGACCCGGACCGTAAACGGTTGCAGTCGCAGCACGAGCTGGCGCTAGGCAGTCCAGTTCGGGTGTCTGTTTTATAGCCCAAGATCTCCGTTGTTCGGGGCATTTACCACCTCCGTGGGCGATAAATCTGCAGTGCGCCCGTGGCGCAATGAACTCGCCTCGCCCTCCTGGCAACTCCTCCCCCACTCCCCCACTCCCCCACTCCACGCCCATCCACCCACTCCTCCGCCTTTTAATTTCACTCGCTGCGGTTTGTTTAGCTCGCTGGCGACGATAAACACCTTGGCGCCAGTGGAAAAAAGCGAGGGTATCACCCCAGTTGGGTCCTTTCCATCGGGGACCTTTTGACAATGTTCGAGGTCCACTTGAGATCAGCTCATTAAGGCTTTCAGCTGGTCAAGTGGACCTCCTTCCTTCACATCGTGATCCAAGTACACCTGTTGCCCAATTCGAATGCCATTGCGGTATTATCATTCTGTGCGTGTTAGTGGTGCCAGCCTATATTTTTGTAGTAAAATTTTTGGAAAGTTTTAGGGATAAAAAAAAAGGTAAAAATCAAAAAAATTATTTTTTATTGCTTATGAAAATATCATTAGATATTAATTTATTATCAGATGTTGTTAAACGTATACACTATACCTTCTCTTATGCCTACAACTATAACAAAAATTGAAACTCTTTCCAAATATATTTTTTTTAAAACAAATAAGCTTTAACCTGTATAATTATTTATTAAATTTTTTTTTTTGGATAAGCGTGCATGACGTGTTTATTGAAATCAAAAGGATAGTTAGGTAACAGGTTTAGCTTAAGAATTTTAATCGTTAATGTGTAAGATATTGATCAATTGATTTTTTCGTTATTTCAATCTGATCATCACTGATGACTGTCCATAGATTTTGTGACGACGCTCTGGCGGCTGTCGTGTGGAGCGGGCTTCCGCCGAAAGCTCTTGAAATTACACACGATATCGGCCGGTAATTATGCATGCATTTATGTTATTGTTAATTGTTTAAACAATACACCTCTTGCAGTCTGATTGTTTAACGTGCGTCTGCTTGGGGTTGGGGGTTTTGGGTTTCGAAATGGAATTGGAATTGGAAAATCCAACCCCACGATCGATTCGTTGAATGGTTTCTGTTCATTCATGTATTTGGAGAAGGGCGTGGACGTGGGCGAGGATGGGTGTGAATGATTCCGAGCGACTGGGCCATTCGATTCATGGAAAATAGTCCATAGACAGGCGGAATAAAATATGCCCCAGCCCAATTATATAACCTCATTGCAGTCACTTACAGCATTTCCCCAATGTTTTCACTCAGCATAATTACACGAAATTCCCGAAAAGCCATTGGAAAGCTTTTGCAATTGATTTATGGCCACTTCCCTGGAAATTGTCGACAAAATGTCTGGCCAGGCAGCAGATCGAATCGGTTAATGAGGGGTGCGTGTTATATTTTTCTGGTGTTCCCAAAGGAATGCCAACGAGTTGCTGGGAAGAAGTCGTTTCCGTGATTTACACGCGAACGAAATTAGAAAATAAACAATGGATTTTAGTATTTCTGGCTGGGACGCGTGATGCGGATTTAAGGCTGAATTTGATTATTTGACTTTCGGCCTAAGACGATGTCGGCCCCAGGCACTTTGATAGTGCTGAATGTGCGCAAAAAAAAAGGAGAAAAAAGGGGAAAAATCGGGGGAAAGGGGCTAATAAACTATTCGCAATTCTCGTTATTCCCCATTTTATTTATTTTCTCATGTCGCGTCAACTGGTTGGCAACTTCGGCGGCAGCATCAAATGGCCAAAAAAACCGAGGCACAAATAAAAAAGAACATTTGAAGCCCGGCTGACGCATAAACATCGCCCCCAATAGCATCGATCTGAATCCGAATGATGATGATGATATACCCGAAGTGACATCAAAGCCCAAAAAGCCTGATAAGCCAAATAAACCAAGCATCAGCATAGATAATCAACTCAGCCAGGCGATAACTCCATTCTGAAAGGGGAAAGGATCAGTGTTGACTATTCAGCCATTTTATGGTCGTTTTCAGACATTTTCAGTGCGAAAATAACAAAAAACTTCGAAGAATGCAATTAACCTTAATTCTATTTATATATTTTTGCAAGTGAAAATTCGAATGAGAATTAATTCGCTATTTGTCTTCATATTTGCGAAAATAGTGTTTGTATTTACATTGTTTAATGAGCGATGATCGCTCTAAATTTTAAATATTAATTTTAATTAATTATAATACAATAAATTACATTATTTTGGTGAATTTTAAGTTGTTGGTTTTTCTTTATGTTCCATCTATGTTATCGGTATAAAAGTTATTTGTTTATTTATCTTTGTGAATTGTAATAACAAATTAAAAAGTAATTTAATAAAGTACCCATAATTCAGATGTAATATTAACTTTTCATGATAACCAATCTGGAGATAATCCAGGATCCCGAAGCCCTCTTCCTATCTCCGATTTAATGGCTCCATGAGCACCTTTTTGCTGGCGTCGCCGGGCAGCATGACTGATCCATCGATCCACCCATCAGAGATCGCAGATCAAAGCGTTTCAGGCACAACAGTCAATCAAACGTTTCCCCCAGTTGCAAGATCTTGCAGCAACCTAGACTGCCAATAAATTCTGCACCCCTCCGCGCCCAACTCCCCCCTCGATTTTCCTTCCCCTTCGCTAGA